TATCATGAATATGTTAATAATGTATTACAAAACGTTATGTATAGTCAACTAAACTAACTTTTGAGCTCCAACACTTTACTGACCATTATTCCTTCTTTGTCATCCTCTGCTAAGTGTCTTATAAAAATTTATTTCTCTCTCTCTGTCTCCATAGACTAATTTATTATTTATTGTTGAGAAGCTCATGAGTGCCATTACTAGTTCTGCCTGTTCCTGTCCTTCAGTTATGAAGAAAATATTTCATTTATTATGTACACTATCAGTCAAACAGTTCCCTGGTGAGACCACACCCAATAACCACACCCCTTTTATTAACTCCACCTACTTTAGAGTTTGATGATTAAGTGCTGTTCACATCAATTAGTGGGTTTATCTTTTTGAAGTTTTTTGCTCCAGCCATTTTGAATCCAAAGCTGTTCGGACTACAATCTGAGAATCCAGTCAGTACATGTACATGTACACACCGAAATAAAATCCATGTACTGAGTCTGTATAGCAGCTGGTGGAATTTCAAAGTGAAGAAAGTTTAGTAATTTTAGCATTTTGATAACCATTCGCCAAATAATTAAACCAAAATCAATAATCAAAAATAATTAAACCAGCTAATCACCAAAATTATGTGGCATAATTTATGAGAAAGTTTAATAATATTGGTATTGTTTTTTCTCTTCAGAATCAGACTGTCTTAAGGACTTTACTTCTCATTTCAAAACTATTCAAAATTTAGGAAATGTTGGAGCAAGAGTAAATAAATAATCTGAGAGAGAGTGAGAGAGATAAAGATATGTGTATTATTTATTTACATGTTTACTTTATCAATTTTTCTTGATCAAAGAGTCCACGTATTTTGTTCCACTTCTTTCTTCTTTTATAATGAAAATGTAATAAAACATAATGATCCACTCTTGGTAATAATACATGTACATGTACATAATAATTACATACATAATTAATACCTTTAATCTTCATTTCTCCTTCTCTCTCATTAATCATTATGTCAAGTGTCTCCTCATCATTGCTGGACATTAAACGATTGCAAGGTCCAGACACTTTTGTAGACACTGACACCAAATCTCAGACAAACCAGGAGACTAACATAAATTTTAAAAAATTACAAAAAATTTTATAAACTTAATGTACAGTGTACAATGTATAAAGCATGTACAGTTTACATGTACATGTATTTTAATAAAAAGTTCACAACTCAAAGGTACTTGTACACGTACAGATGAGACAATTTTAAGAAATATTAAAAATAATAAAAATTTAGCAAGATGAAGCCCTCTCTCTCCCTCCCTCCCCTTTACCTTATTATTTGATGTGCTACTCATTGGACTGGTATAGGAGATGGTGACACTATCCCTCCTCCTCCAATAGTATGAGAGGGAGATGAAAGAACTGGTTCAGCTACTGACACATTCTGTGATTGATAGGTTGAAAACTCAGTGAATTTAAGTGAATTAAATTTAAGCAACTTAAAAAAATTTGTAAAAATTCCAAATTTAGCTGTATGTATATCTGTATGCATAAAAAATATCTGTATGTATGAGACATACTGCCCACTATGCCCAGCCTCTACAGGTGGTACTACATGGTGATTACATGCTCACGTGGGCGTTGGTCTTGACACTAACCTGCAGCTAGCAGACACCAACCTCTCTGACTCAAAGGACCTCTGTAAGACTAGGAAATGCCGAGGTCCTGAAAACATCATACAAGAAAGTTGAAAGCCAGAGAGAAGCTGTATGAAGTTGAAAAGATTATTGAAATGAAGATAGAGGAGGGAAAGAAATTTTATTTCTTAAAATAGAAGGACTACTCGCCTACCTACAATACTTGGGAGCCTGAGGAAAACGTAATATGCCCGTAAGAAACATTAGATAATGTCGAAAAGGAATACTTTTAAAAAGAAAAGCACCTCCAGAGCCACCTTTAAAGACATCAAAGACTCATACGACTGCTAATACGGAGCATGATGATTCAGGTACTCTCGGCTCCATTCATTCCCTCTCTTCCAATAATGGGGAGGACGAAGAATTAGATGCAACCGTACAGATTGAAGAACCAGGTCCAGAAGCTGAAGAAATATTAGAAATATTAGAAGTGGAGGAGCTTCCCAACCTCCTAAAATACATGTACCTGTGGGTTAGGGGAACCCCACGAGAACTTGATATGCCCAGAAAACCTTGATATACCCTGGAAGAACTGCCCGTGCTCTTAAACTACCTGTGGGTTAGGGGAACCCAGGAGAACTTGATATGCCCACCAGACATATTAAAAAGGGTTGAGAAGGAATACTCAAAGAAACGAAAAGCTCCTCCAGTGAATTCATCTCCAGTTGTGAGCCAGTCACCTTTAAACAAATTGAAGACCAATACGACTCCTACCAGTAATCTGTCAAAGATACCTCCAAACTCAGTTTATGCTGAGCTGCTAGTAACTCGTCAAACCGGTTTAAAATACAAGTTAGTCAGTGTGAACTATGAAGGTGAAGTGGTTTATTCAACATGCCAGTCAGTACATTCCAGAACCTGATGGTCCTATCAGCTGTACCACCACCTGAGGCTAATAGTTCATGCTGGGGAAATAATGGAAAAGAAAGATCAACCAATTAATGGAGGTGTGCACTATAGTTTTTAACCCTTTATTCACTTACTTGATGCAGTGACCATGCAAGAGCTTTTATAGCTGCTTTATGATCCGAGAGACAGTGAATGGGTGTGGTCGATGAATCATCCCATATGAATAACTAATAAAGCACAAATAAAATTAATTTAAAAACTCACTTTATATCGTTTCCTCCTGAGGCCAGGTGTTGGTGATTAGGGGACCAGCAAGTCCACACACCTCCTGGGTGTGGCCTAACAGTCTCCTAGTGGGGAAGGCAGGTAGATGTGGGTCCCACTGTAATATCATGTTGTCACGACTACCACTGCATAATACATCACCACACCAAGAGAGGGAACCTGCAGGAGACAATGTAGATACATTAGCTTATGGTTCTTACCAAAAATGGGCCAGTTTTTGAAACATTTTCTGATACATATTGATGTCCTTATGCTATGTAGAAAGTTTGAGCTGATTCCACATTCAATTTTTCAAGTTACAACAATTTTAAGAAAACGTCAAAATTCTGAAAAATACCCAAGGCTATTAGTAACGCGGTAGCGTTACTAAGTAGGATTCACCCCCAAACAAAATGGCTGCCACGACTTTTGCAGCCTTGCTATACCAGGAAAATGAGCTCCTATGCTCACCAGACTTTATAGAGGACCTTA